TTCGTCAAATGAAAATAACAGTAATGAATTGATCATATTATCTTCTTTTTCTCTTTATTCATATTGTGTTATTTTTTTTTCAATAATCATTCAGTAACATAAACTTTGAAAGTGTATGTCATCAAATTTCCTAAAACTAATAGTAATTATTGATCCAAAGCAGATCAGTAGTGTTTCTACTTCACAAAGCCTTTGACAAAACAAACAAAAAAAATATTTCCACTCCCAAAACATAAAATTTGTCTCATTTTGTTCATGATTCAACACCTGATTATCTCATCTCGGCTTGATTTTAGCAAAAAAACTATTATGTAGAGAACTAATATGTGTTAAAAATACTGCCAGGTAAATATTATATTGTTGTAGTTGAATACACCCAAAAGTAGTTGATTTTTTGATGTTGATGTTAATACATCAGTAACAACCAACGAATAATATACATTAAACATTAGTCGGATTTACGGACTTTTCATTTTTAATTTAGTAAAATAATTATTTTCCACAATATTATCCAGTGATATTATATATTTTACAGGCTACCAATCACAAATTCCGTACCTTCCACCTTCAGTAAACTTCTGTATTAAACCACTTTACATACTAAAACCTTTTTTCGTGAGCCATTTTTAAACAAAAAATGTCCAAATGTTTACTGGCTCGCTCCAAAATACAATTATTAGAATTACAATTCAGACGAATTTGAATTCAGGTTTTCTAGCTGTTCCTCTCAGATCTGTCTCTATGACTGACACTTATTCTAAGAATATACATTTTGGTTCCACACCTAAGCACACTGGGAAGTCAACGTTTTTTCACGGTCTTTTACCCCACATTGTCCCCTAAAGCTCAAGTCAGCCATGTGAACATGATGTCCTTTGTACCCTTCTAGCTCAGGGGTCTGCAACCGTTTTAACATGGAGAACCACATTTACGGTCCTTGGTAATCCCTGTGCCCTGTTAATACTAAGTTGGATTTTGACAGTAGATCAATAAATAAAACTTTGACAGATCTTTCATTTTGTTCCTTTGTTATTTAGGCAACATGCCTCGTAAAGCAACATTTAAAAAATGAGAATTTATCTTTGTGAGATAAGATTTTTGACCGTCCTTCTATCATTCTAGATCATACACTAAACCCATTCTGGTAGCAATGGTTGAATAAAATCAATAAAGAGGCATTTTGTGTTTCTATTTGGTTTCAGTTTGGTAGCCGAACAATTATGTCTTTTGCTAACTCTCAAAAACTGCCTCCGTGGTGTTCCTGTTTGGTTTCAATTATAACGTTTACCGTGTAATGTGGGAGGAAATATGTTTCCTTCAGACAGTGTTCATTTATAAGGGAAAGTCATTTTTTTAGAAGACTGGACTGATAACATAGGGATGAGAGGGCATCCTTTTCAAAAAGCTCTATGCAATTGGTTCAAGAACTACCCCTAAAGTTTCGTACCTCTGGTCTTGTCTGTATCATTTCCAGCTCTCTCTACCTGCTCCATGTGGAACACCTTCCCTCTTCTGTCATTTGCCAACACTCTGTCAGTGAGCCTCCTGGACTATGTTGTGCTAAAGTGGGGGTTGCAACTTGGCTCCCACGCTCACGGCTCCGGCCATTGCTGTGACTACCTGTAATTTCGTCCCGGGTCATATGTGGTAGTTTGTGGGGTCGTCCTCCACATAACTCTCTGTGTATTTTTGGATCATTTTAGTCGTTGGTGTTTATCCACAGAGGTGTTCTGCAGGAAGTGCCTGCAGAACACCTGTCAATCAGACAATGTGACAGGGGGACATCTTCTGCCATCACTTAATGGAGGTTGAGTATATTTGTTCCGTTACTTCTGAGATTCCTTATTTCCTTCCTTATTTCCTTCTTACGGCCTCCTTATTGCCATTGTGAGCTAGAATCTGATGACAGCACTGCCACCTCAAACCTGTCCGAACTCAATCAAGTAGCGTGGACGTCCATAGGAACCAAACCTGCTCGTAATGTTCAGGAACTTTGCACCACATTTTCGGCGTCGGAATAAAGGGGAATTGCCGTGTATCTTATATGCATGAATGGTAACGGGAGAGGTTTGCAACATGTATAATGGATACGTTTTGTTTTATAGGATTATAAAACTTCTCAGGCATTTTCATTATTTATTAAATGTATTGGATTGTCTGACAGAACTAACAAAAGGGCTGTTATTGACATCAGGGAGATTCACAGTTTTATTTGATCAAACGTTTCTTTTCAGAACTCAAGTTCCTCTTCCTAACAAGACTGGGATGTGTTGGAAAGCCTGCGATGAACAATTCATTAATTTATTAATTGATCAATAGACCGGCCCTGTTGCCCTCGAAGGGGTCCCGAACCTCAGGTTGTGAACCTCTGGCAAAGCCAGTTTAAAACGTCATTACTGTTGATGAGAATGAAGGGGATGGTTGCATTATGTGATTTACAGAACACAGTGTACTCCCATAAGTAAACATGCTATGTGGATGAGACTCACATCTGAGAGGCTCAGGTGTGCTGTGTGTTTATACTCGTATGTGATTCTTCTTCTCATTAAACATGCGTGTGTGTGTCTGTGTGTCTGTGTGTGTGTGTGTGTGTGTTTGGACGCTGGCGACGGCGTGGATGCTGCACGTACAGTGATTAGGTGATCCGCTTCCTCCCTTTCATGTGTTTTTAGTCTCTTCTGCTTTGTTCCCTTTCTTAATTACAGGCGAGCTCTCCTCAGAGAGCGCGTAACCCCACTCCCCACTTCCACAGCAGCATCCCATTAATGCCACGCACCCAACGCCTCCCCTCTACCTTTATGCAGAATACAATTAAAAACGAGGAGAGATCAAAAAGATGCCAGGAGTCTGACGAGGGTGATGTTTTTCCGAGAAATGCAGATTTGTCTTATTGATGGCTGCCCCATTTGGAAATCATTATGGGACGGGATTAATCAGGAGAGCTGCATCAGCATTTTCGTCGTCGACATGCAGCAACAGCCCCTAACACACACACACACACACACACACACAAACACCAACAACGGCATATGCTTTCAACAAAGAGTGAGCCTCCCTTAGTGTAGTTAGTTATTAGGATTAGTGCATTCTAAGCGTGTTGTGGTTGTTGCTTCCCAACAATCTCCAATAGCTCCATACAAATATCTCGTCATATTTTGATACTTGTGTTAAATATGAATGTGAGAGTTGTACTGCCTTTACCTCCCTCGGTCTCATATTTGCAGGGCTTTATCAGAGTTAATATACAGTTAGGACTCTTTGGAGCATGATGGGAGGAATGTTTTGTTGGATTCTACAAACTTACGTATTTTTCAATAATGGCCACATGATTTGAACTCAGAACTTTGTGTAATTTCATATTATTGTTGGAGCTCCTATCGAGGAAAATAGAAAAAGCATTAAGACCTCCACAGATGGACTGCACATTTTAAACACACAAAAAGGAAAAAAAAGACTTTAAAAATAAGACTGTTATAAATAAGTCTGTTTCAGGCAGTAATTCATAAATCTCCTGTCAAATAATAAAAATAACAAAAATAAATGTATATTTGCCATTGAAAATTGTTGTCTTCTTATATTGAATTGTTTCTACCAAACCTCATTCAACAGTTTTAATGGAAATAAAAAATGTTCTGAATAATTTGCCTAAGGATGATCTCGTACAGTCCTTCATCATTAATATTTGTTTTACAATAATCTGGCCTCATGCAGTGAATGAATCCTCAATCTTTTATTTCAGTGTGAAATCTTTGAAGCACAGCAGACTACTGTGAACAATTCGTAGGGAAATACTCCGTTGTTTTGGGTTGAACATCTCAATGCGGTTGCCCTTTTTATTAAGTTACTGTATGTCACAATGAGTGGAAACAAGTGATGGGAGTTTTGGATCCATGAAGGATAAATGATGACTGTTGCTCCTGGTGATTCTCTGTCAGGCATCTTTTTATCCTGCCACACTGAAGATGTACGGCCCCTATGAAGAGAGAGAGGGAGGGAGAGAGAGAGAGAGAGAGAGAGAGAGAGAGAGAGAGAGAGAGAGAGAGAGATGCTGAATTGTAATTAATTCAGTTTTACCTTGACATACAAATGTATCATAAATCTTGTACTATTTTAACCAGCGCAGCTCTGCCTTTACACGCTTTTTACTGTTATTAATTATTGTACGGTGAGTTTCTCCTTCACTGCTCTGAATGCTGTGAAATGATTCCAACATATAGACTAGATCTCGACCCACATTTTCACACAGATCCTCCTGTAAATTCAATTTCTTGTTCTTTGGCTTTTTCTTCTGAGAATCGACTTGAATCAAACCAGAGGAACAAGCCCGTTTGGGCTCCTAAAACAAATACATACAAACTCACATATTTTTTTCCTTAATCTTACACTCCTAATATCATATTTCATACACGCCCGCAGACATGCCCGCTGCCACTATGTTTAATGTATAAACCCGCCTTATAGCAGAAAACGCACATGATAAATATGCATGTATTCAATTAAGGGTATTACAGAGGAGCTGATTTGCATAAGGATTTAGGAGATTAACATTATATTTGTGCTATAAAACTTCACAATAGCCTAAACGCTAGCCTTTATGGGCGGGGGGGGCGACAGGTATTTTCGGAGGAAACGAGGAAAAGAAAAATAATTATAAAAATCTCAAAAAAAAAGAAAGCAAAGAAACATCCGTATATTGAATCAGAAGCAGACACATTACAGGTAAACATTTCTGGACGAATTTCGTTTAGAATAATGTAAAAAAAAAAAAACTATTTGACTGGACCACAGTTTTTCTACAACAAAAGCACAAAAAGGTGTGATAACGTCTTTTGTGCGAGATGAAACCTCCTCCGGTCCACACGTCCCCCCTCTCTCTCTCTCTCTCTCTCTCTCTCTCTCTCTCTCTCTGCGATGACGAAGTCCGCGTTCTCCTCCCAATTAAGAGCACAGAGCTAATTAGAATGAGCGGATCCGGGATCAGTTGAGCAGCCCCGCGCTGCTGCTGCTGCTGCGTGCCGGGCGGACAGGGCCGAAGCCGCTGGGCTTTGGGTGACACCGGATGACAAGAGTGCGGCTCGGGAGATGGATAAAAACAGGATGCGTGATGGAGAAGACACCAGCTGGAGCCAAAAGGGATCCGAGCGCATTAACACCGAGTTGAACAATCCCACTGATGATGATACAACGGTCTGATCCACGTCGTTCCTCGGTGGGATTTAAATGCCACTGAGCGCGGCTACTAAACACGGATGAAGGGCCTCGCCTCTCGACCCTTTAAAAACACATCAAATAAATATTTTTATGAATTTTGACTTCAAAGTAGCACAATTTACCTTGACTCATGTCGATATTGAATATAGGTCAATGTGAAATGGCAGGGGTTAATTAAAGTTGTGGCTAAATGAACAATAACGACTCAGGGGGGAGATCTTAACTTGCTGTCTTTTGAGGCGGCTGTTGTTGAACGCTTTCGAACAAATAAACTAAAAACTATTTAAAGGGGATTTAAAAGTGAAACGCTGTGTCTTTTCTTTCGGTGGCTGATTTGAGAGACTGCGTGCCGCTGCAGGGTCGGGGCAGAGCCCCTTGGTGCCATGGAGGGTCTGTGAGCAGCAACAGCGCGCGGCTGTGTGGAACCCTGCCTGTGCGTCACATGAGTCAAGGTCCCAGCGGAGCAGCCCGACAGCTCCAACAGCTCCAACGGCTCCAACGGCTCCGAGGACTGACTCGCTGTGCTGCCCGGACACTTCGTCCCTTCCTTTAAAAGTGGCCGTGGCACACACGAGGTTGGCCGGTGATCGGTGCGTTATGGAGGCAGAGGCGCAACAACTTTTCCAGAAAGGTTTGTAAAAAGTCTCTCCGAACAGTTTTGTGGCGGCGCAGTAGCCAATGAACATAAATGGTACGTGGTGACGCAACAGGGCCCCGTTGATAAGGAGCAGAGAGTCCAACCGGGACTTGAGAAGGAGGAACGCTTGTGGGGGGCCAGCAAATACTCGCCTATCATCAGTCAACGTAAAGCCAACTCCGCCTCTTCTGCTGTTACGCACATGTATGCAGGCTTCCTGGCCAACGACTAAACATTCACCAAACAGACTACTGTGCAGGAAAAGCGCTTCTCCATGACGCCCGGTCGGATTCTATAAAGCAAAGCGCTGTGTTTTCATTTTTTTTCCCCCCTGCAAAATAAAAGTCGTTTCAGCGTCATAACTCCGCTGCTGCAGCATCAACTTGGACCGCTGAGCCGCGAGGAGGGAGGAACGCTGACAGCTTTTTGGGGACATATCTTTTTGGTTCTTTCTGACTGTGTGATGCGTTAGGCAGTGCCAGTCGCACTGAGATGCGTCTTATTCAGCAGTAAAAAGGAAGACATTTGGCCAGTGCCCTGCAGACTGACAAAACCCTGAAACATTACTCCCGGAGAGAAGGAAGCATCGGGGAATCCATGCAGCGCGGCTTCCATAGTTGGTATGTTTATTCATCGTAAATAGAAAGGACAATATTCAAAGAGCAATTGGCGGTGAGAAAGAAGTAACATCGTACCTGAGAGAATTCTGATTCCAGAATCAATCAGAGAAACGAAATATCCGCGCTTATTTCTAAATTAATCAGCGTGTTAATATTGGGAGCTGCAGAGATTCAGATGACGGTTTCCATTGGCAGATGAGACGTAGTGTGGAGAACACGTGTCCAATTTTTTCCTCAGATTTTTTCCTCCCTAGTCTGGATTTGCACTTGTCACGGCAAGAAAGGAAAACCTTTTTTTTTTTTTAAACAAGAATTTTGAGTGGCGTATTTGCGCACATTGTTGCCTCTGATGGACATCTTGGGTTGCAGATCCGAAGAGAACAGTTATAATATCCTCTCCTCTGCGGCAACGATGCTTTTCCATGGCCTCCCTGGAGGCGACGTGCACGGCGTGGTGGAGGAAATGGACCGGAGAGGAAAGAGCGAGTCAGCAGCCATCAGCTCGAGCATCGATATGGGGGAAACGGAGACGGTAGGACCCTCCATCTGGCCCTCCCGGGCTCGTTAGCGCAGGCAGCATGGCAGCTCGCACGCGTGTGACAGTGGCTGCACTCTTACAGCTCCAAGCACCGTGATTCACTTCTGAACGCTTTGTACTTCACATTGACGCCGAAAAAGCAGCCAACAAAAGCCCCAGCACGTTTCTGCATCTCAAACTTGCTCCACGAGGCTATTGTGATTACTTCCCTGCCAGTGTGTACTCTAAACTTGCACTGGTACCACAGAAGCTCCAAATAGACCCACAGTCGAAAAGGCCCTGGCTTTTTTTCACACAGAGAGAGAAATGTATCTTTTATACATAATAATTCGCTTATTTAATTGTGCCTTCACGAACACGAAGAACACAGCGCTTATTCAGAGCAAAAGCAAAAATAAGTATTTCAACAGAGCCTTCTCACTAAACCTAAAGAAAAATAACCAAAAAGTACCGTTTGCTAAATATTTTATTTTATTTTTTTATTTAGGAAACATTTGTAACAATTTAATTATGTATTAATACTAAAGTAATTCTAGAATGAGCAGCAAGGAAACCACAATAAGAAAAGATAGTATGGAGAAATCATTTTGTATTCTGTTTACATCTTCTGTTGGTAATTATTTGTGGACGGTGCGCGCGTGCATGAACTTGATTGTATCTATTTTGCAAAATCATAACGCTGTCTTAGTTATAGCACCTGTAATAGACATATATTGTTTCCAGGAAACATTAACTCCCCATATATGTCACTGATACGTATCATTAACTCATATTACACAATGTGTACATTTTGTTGGATGTTAAAAGGTCTTTTTGTTTTCTATTAATCTGCCGCTGGGACTCGGAAATAATAAGAAATGTCACGAATCAGAAATATGACAGCGGCCTTATCGTTGCTGTTTATTTTAATTCTCGGAGCGGAGTTTGTATTCTTCAAACTAGTTTCTATTTTAATATCATACTAAATTTGGTGTCCAGTATTATCGAGGTTGTTGTTGAAAATGCAATTTGCAATTTAAACTTAATGTTATTTCTTAAAAAAAAAAAAAAATCCTAAATCCTCCCACTCGTGGTGTCTGTGCCCCCCCTCCCACGGATAAATAAAATGATCCTCGGCCTTATTCTTATTGAGTATGCTACGTTATGTCCACGTTCGGACATAACGTAACGTTGCACGTGCATGTGTTCCCACATCGTGTCCCTGACGCCGCGCGTCCTCGCGCCTCTCTCCTTGTTGGCCTGCAGTCCGTGCCGTGTATGAGCAGCGAGCGCGTGGCTCTGTGCGCGGGCTGTGGGAGGAAGATCTCGGACCGCTACTACCTGCTGGCCGTGGACAAACAGTGGCACATGCGCTGCCTCAAGTGCTGCGAGTGTAAACTCAACCTGGAGTCCGAGCTCACCTGCTTCAGCAAGGACGGCAGCATCTACTGCAAGGAGGACTACTACAGGTACGCGTGCACCTATGACCCCACGGGGTGCTTTCAAATAATGCCAACGCAAAACGATGTCAACACAAAGAGGATTCTACATTTGTCTATAAAAACAGCTTTAATGTAAGAAAAATTCAACGAAGTTTCATCATCTCTGTCTCGAAGCGTGTTTGTAAAATATTTTGCACAACTGACAGCTAGTAGTTAGTAGCATAGTGTATCATTTATATTTATCCAGACGGTTCCAATGAAATCCACGTGCTCCGCTCACACATTGACACGCGGAAAGAAAACACAAAGTAAATGGGATTGGTTAAACTAACAGTGTCAGGTTCAAATTCAAATTGTACTCAAATTTGCAATTCTGCAAAAAATTGATGCAGACTGTCAGAACAACTTTAACGTTTAACGTGGACTGTTTTTGTGCGCGTACATGTCGGGGAGCCGCGCGTCCAGCCCCTCATGAGGTGTCTGTGTTGTCCGCAGAAGATTTTCGGTGCAGAGATGCGCTCGGTGCCACCTGGGGATCTCAGCCTCGGAGATGGTGATGCGGGCCCGAGACCTGGTCTACCACCTCAACTGCTTCACGTGCACCTCGTGCAGCAAGATGCTCACCACCGGGGACCACTTTGGCATGAAGGACAGTCTGGTGTACTGTCGGCTGCACTTTGAGACTCTCATCCAGGGAGAATATCAGACTCACTTTAACCACGCGGATGTGGTCCCGCACAAAGGCCTGGGCCCGGCCAACACGCTCGGACTATCCTACTTCAACGGCGTGGGGACGGTGCAGAAAGGCCGGCCCAGGAAGAGGAAGAGCCCCGGGCCGGGCGCAGAGCTGGCGGCTTATAACGCAGGTAAGAAGGGCTGCAGCGAGACCCGTGCAGGTCAGAAATAATGCATATCGTGCAGGAATGTGTCGTGTTTCGTTGCTGGTTTTACCTCGTTAACAATTATTCAAGGGCGACAACTTAGAAGAGAAAAATCGACAAAAAGAAGCAGCGCTGTCATCGTAAACGTCGCTCCCTGGTTTTATTTAACAGCACGAGCTGATTGAGAGCGACAGCTTCCAATAATCAAACTTAAGAACTTTAGTAAATAGGATTCATACAGGGAGTTTATAAGGACTCCATCATAACTTTACCACATACCGGCATGCACAGCTTTAAACGCGTTATGGGCCTCGACTATACCTATATATATACTATACTATAACCCTAACCCTATATATTCTACATAGATATAGATTTATATATCTATCGATAGATATAGATATATCTATCTCTCTCTCACTATATATATATATATATATATATATATATATATATATATATATATTTATATTAACACAAAATGAATATATATAAATATATATACATATATGTATCTCTCTCTGGTATATATATATATATATATATATATATATATATATATATATATATATGTGTTTATATGTGTGTGTGTTAGTGTTCAGAGAATACAAATATAAATATATATATATATATATACGTCTGTGTGTGCGTGTGTGTGTGTGTGTAGGTTTAGTATTGTGCCAAATTTGGAGTGCAGCATTATCTTTTTCTTAAAGTTCTTCCCATTGGAAGTGAGTTCTTACCGATAATTATGTGTGATGGGCGAGAATCTTCCACTGATAGTCGGTATAGTTTCATTCATTGAGCTAAACATTTCTGTCAGAAACAACAGCGGCATGTTCACGATGAGGCCAAACATTGTGCATGAATAAGCCTGCAATGGCCACTAATACACAAAGAGAACAGCATGCAGGCCAAGTGAGGCCAGGGAGGACAAAACCACGCAGGCGAACTGAGACAGAACAAAAGTGTTCTAGGCGAACTGTCATGTGAGATAGAAAGCGGTCAATCTGCTATGAAACCTGTTTTAATGTTCTGGGATTTGCTTTCACCCTCTTCTACTTCTTAGACCCCATGAACACACACACACACACACACTGCAGCCTTTCATTGGGACTGGGTCAGACTGGGTGTGTGCAGAGATCAATGTGACGGGATGAATTACTCACTGGAGCAGGCAGCAATATGAGAAGTTTCTGAACAAGCTTTGGGGATCTCACGTTTGTTTTTTTGACTTGATTCATTTTTCTAATTATTCACAAAAGAAGATAGTTAATCGCAAACAAAGTTCTTCCATCAATAAACTGCAACAGGTGAAATAGTTACACTCCCACTGGTTTCCAATGCAACAGAGCTTCTTTCCTTTAGTTTCCCACCCGAAGCAAGTGATTCTTCTTTAGAATACACAAAGTAATGCTGCCTCTTAAATGCTGCCACCTTTTGTTTTTTTCTGATACTGATAATCATTTAGTTGGTTGGTGTTGGACTTTTTATGAATAAATTACAGGCCTTCTGAACACAATATTACATCACGGAGCTACAAAGAAGAACGAACACGTTCTTACTCTGAAGCAGCCGGTGTATCTTTTTGTTATCATGCGTATTTAGTAAAGAAACTAAAGTAAATGACACCAAAGCAGAATGAGGGGAGTGAAGAGGCAGAGCGCCCTCTTCTGTTTGCTGCCAGAAACAACATCCACGCGTCACCTGAGCGCTCTGGTGAGAGCATTAGGCCACCTGCAGCAGCCCGCAGCGCTCACGCGGTACATAGAGCGAGAGCAAGACGTTGTGTGTGACAACCAGGACACAAGCAGGAAACAAGCAGCTTTTTGTTCGAGTGCTGCAACATATGCTTTGGCCAGAAAGCAGCATTTGTTCTGCCTGGTGCGTATGGGCTAATTAAGTGAGGTGTTATTCTGATGGTTTTCACTCACTTCATATTCATCGTTTGCGTTTTGATATTGACGACGAACTGTTATGCATGAAGCAACACTTTGGATATTGCCAAGAAACGTGCAGACTGGGACACGTACATGTGTGTGTGTGTCTGTGTGAGAGAGATAGTGTGTGCGTGTGTGTGCTGAAGCCAGGCTAGCACCTCCTCCCAGGATAGAAGGAAATGTAGACAGGGACGGACAGACAGACGAGGTGCGGAGAGGAGGAGGATCTGCAGCTGGAAGAAAACAGCTGTCATGTCACGGTGTCTCCTTGGATCACATTGCGTTCATAGATTTAAATGAAGAAGGGAATGTAGATTGAAATAACAACATTTTTTACATTTGTAAAAAACAACACGCACAATAATAGCAGAAAATGAAGAAACAGTTATTGCTAAACCTTTTCTTTTAGATATTTGCGATGCACCGATCTCATACACGCTTGGTACTCACTAAGTTTGAAATGCAGAACATTATTTCTATGCGCCCAATTTATTGCTGCATCTATACTCTTACGGATTGAATGGTAAATGATTACTGGGGTCATGAGATGATGACAGCAGGAAAGAGAGGACAATGTCTAACCGGCTCTTCTCATTTGTCTCCTGCTGGCTCGCAGCGCTGAGCTGCAACGAGAACGACGGCGAGTCCATGGACCGGGACTCACAGTACAGCTCCAGCCAGAAGACCAAGCGCATGCGGACGTCCTTCAAGCACCACCAGCTGAGGACCATGAAGTCCTACTTTGCCATCAATCACAACCCAGACGCCAAGGACCTCAAGCAGCTCGCCCAGAAGACCGGTCTCACCAAGCGGGTCTTGCAGGTAACCACAACAGCTACAGCGCCGTTTTCCTCTACTCAGGGAGGGACAAATGACAACAAGGGTGCAGGAATTCTACTGATTTCCAAATGCAAATGTCAAATAAAGGAAGAGAAAGAAGCCAAATCAGCATGCTTCATTTCAAGATACTGCTGTTTGCCGTGAAAAGTTTAAAGGCCGAGATGAACACAAACAACAAGGAATTCTTGCTTTACTTTCTAGCAAAACCACATCCAAGTCCTCATTCGATCACAGAATGAGAAATACATTTGAAAAGCTGCTTTGAAAAGCAGGAGATTTTAACATTTTCTCACCGATAGAAAACGTGCTAAAAGTAAAATGTGTCTTGCAAACAAAACAAATTGCATTCTACTTCAGTGGACGATGTGAAGTTATGATGAGGATTGAGGGATGAAAATCCAAAAGCTCTGTAGTACATGCGAAGAAACAGGAAGCAGAACGTTTGATTTCCACAAAAGAAGACAGCAAATTATCTGGGGGACTGAGAAGAAGAAAAATGGGACAAAGAGGTTTCTGAATCCAATTTTTCCTGAGAAGGAAAAAAAAAAAAGGCTCATCCCGCTGCTTTAATTAACGCTTGCAGAAAACAAAGCAGTCGTTTTGCTTTGATGCGTTGGAGTTTTTATGCGTGTTTTTCCGGCTGAAGCGCCGCGCTCCCATGGCTCCGTCATGATTCCAGCGCTAACACGCTCCAGCACTCGGCTCAGACAACACTCGCCGCATCTCAGATACTCCTTTATGTGAAAAAAACAGGCCAAAGATTAAGTGTAAAACTGAAAATGATCAGGGCACAATGAGGAGCAGGCTGCTCGTGGTAAAATGGGGTGCAGGGCCCTCTTGAGAGGGTTCAGGGGGTCGTCGGCAAAATAAGGAAGAAACCATTCATTTCAAGGCCGTTGCAAATAGGAATCTAATGATGAAATAATAGGTACTTTTATTCCAATACACACTTTGTTGTGTTTTTTTTTCATGACGAGCCCTGGTGTTCTTCTTCTCTTCTTCTTCTTTCATTAATTACAGTGTGAGCATCTGCAAACAGACTCAAACCAGACACAAGGCCCCGCTCACCTCTGTGCGCTCTGAGCCACAGCGCTCTGTGGAATATTTCATTCTCATTGGTCAGTGATGGCATTCAAAGGTCTGCTCATTTCGGAATAACAATTTTTTTATGGACTCTGATTTCCATACACAGCGAGACAATTCATTTTTTTGTCGAAAGAACACCATTATTTTGAAATAAAAAATTTGGCTCAGCGGAGAACAGGGTGGTCTTTGAATCGGAGGATCGGCGGTTCGATCCCCGGCTTTGCTTCTCCAAAGACACTTAACCTTGCTCCCACTATTTACACATCGGAGCCTACTAGTTACTCATGGGCATGGTAGCTCCTGTCATCGGTGTATGCATGGGTGTAGTAGAAAAAGGTTGGAGAGAATGGGGGTCGGGTTTGGTTCATACTGTTTATGATTTCTCATTGCATCTAAAAATGTCTCATATTAGTTTTCATATTTACGGTCCATGGTTTGTTCAAGTTTAGGCCCGGTACGTCTGGATATGGTCCGGCTTACGTAAATATAGATCCACAAGCAGTAGCTCTGTGTTCTACATCGACCTCACTTCCTCCTCTTCCCATAGTGTATGACAGTTGACAGTGCCCAGTCTTTTGCGTAATGCTTTTGTAGCTGCAGCAGGTGTGGGTTGAAAATTCTCTTAATTACCCTTTACCCATAATGCCGTGGACATGATTGAATGAACCAATGTGCAGAAATCAAAACGGTCATTAGTGTAAATGTAAAGCTACGTCTTATTAGAGCATACACGTTGTTTCCACCCCTGATTCATTTTACCACAGTATCCCAAAAATCTGATAGATGACTTGAAACACGCTTGAGGTATAGTAAGTTAATCCATAAGAGTCCGCATTCATTAGTGCCACTTGTATCGTTGATATGTGCACGTGATGTACTGTGTGTGCACCGTGTGGGAGATAGACTGGGATCAATGCCTGGGTGGAAGTGCATGTAACAGGGTGCTTGAGAAAAGGGTTGGCGGCTTTACACTGCATTTTCAACCCCTGGTTTTTACATTCCGCCCGGGCAGCAGTCAGGGGTCGGGTGTCTTGCTCAGGGACACTTCGACATGGGACATGGAGCAGCCGGGGTTCGACCTGCCAACCTTGTGGTTCCCGGCCCACCCTCTTTACTCTTTACACGCGGCACCGTTGTAGAAGAATCTTCTAACTGCACTGGGCTCAACAAATGGTGGAGATGTTTCACGGGCAGATCAAACACAAAGTCTCCGAATAGATGGAAAAGTCACAAACCTGAACCTTTAACATCGCCGCTAAATGCTTTTTAGATGCTCATCTAAAGAAGCTAACACGAGCACAAAATCAGAAGTGATTCATCTCTCTGACAGGATAGATTTTGTTCTTTTGCTCCCTCAGGTCTGGTTCCAAAATGCTCGGGCCAAATTCAGGAGGAACCTGCTGCGGCAGGAGAGCACCGGAGGGGACAAGGCGTCGGACGGCTCCACGCTCCAGGGCGGGACGCCGTCGGGCCCGGCCTCCGAGATCTCCAACGCTTCCATGAGCCCCTCCAGCACCCCCACCACCCTGACAGACTTGACCAACCCCACCATGCCCACCGTCACCTCCGTGCTCACCTCGGTGCCGGGGGGCATGGATGTCCACGAGTGCCGGAGCCCGTCACAGACCACGCTGACCAGCCTCTTCTGATGGCCGGAGAGCACCGCTCCCCACCCCCACCCCCCGCCTCACCCCGTCACCTCTGCTCCACCCTACTGGATCTAGAACTGTTTCCTCCTTTGAATAGAAAAGAGAAGGTAACGGACGCATTGAGAAAAGATATCATTTGGCTGCGAGCGCCTGAGAGACTATCGGCATAGCGAGGCGGCCGGGCCTTAAAGTCGGAGCAGTTGACGTTATTTTGATGTTGTTGTCTTTTGAGAACTGAGGAGGCTTGATTTGCATTTTTCAATGTTTACAGAAAGAGGCTGCGGGAAAAAAGAAACTGCTTAATTTTGAACTCATTCATTTTTCCAGCACAGTATTTATGTTGTTGTACAAGAGTCACTGTTAGAAGGATTGTAACGAATCTTTTTTGAAAAATGTGAGATTAAACACAGGTTACAATATCCACCGAGTGCCATGTGCCTTACAGTCCTTCCGCTCTGAACTCCTCTCACAAGTTGAGCCCGATCAGACAGCGACGTTAACGTTGGGAGAGTGTGTGCTTGTGTGCGCGTGTGTGTGTGTGCTTTGTTTTGCCCCATTTAGTTTGTGTGTCTGCACATCTGTAGTTTATTGCTAAACATTCCACTTAAATTTCAAATGGTGAGTGGTGAAATCTGAAGAGGTAATTATGAATAATAGAGAATTTATTGACTCCACTTTGACCAATCTTAAGGTATTTACACACCGCAAGCGTTTTTTTTTTGCATTTGTAGCGCACAACATATTTTAACGACATAATTTATGTTGCTTTTGTCATGAAAACTTTATAACACAAAATTTAGCAGCATATTTTGTTTTTACCGAATTAGTTTTCTTTTTGTTCAGCTTTTGCTAAACAAATAAAGACATGAACTCATCAGGTTGTGTAGAACAGGTTGTGTCATTAAAGGTGCAACGCAGACTCTGTAATCCGAACCAAGGCGGCCACTTTTATCCCCCTCTTCCACTTTGACAAAGGCAGTGCATCCACTCCTTTCGTTATTATCTTTCACAATAAAAGCCCATAACATATAATAATCTCAGGCGAGTAGTTTACCTTTTAGTGTCCTTCATCATCGGCATAATGGCCTTAATTAAGCAGACTTGAAAGCTGCTTTAAATGAGGAGAGAATATATTCTTTTAATTGAATACTTTGTTAGCCAAACACATGCAGGTCAACCATGACAGTGACATTTCAGATATGGATCTTACTTTTTTATCCTCATTATCAGGTCATTATTCGGCTTTCAAGAGTCAATCAACTGTGATCCAGGCTCTTGCTTTAGATACACGTTACAATAATACTAACTTAGCTCTTCTTACCTGTGAAATAGACGGAAACATTATCTCTGAAGCAAGTGAGAAATATCTTTTGTTGTGGTGTCTATAAATTCAAGAGGAGCTTTCATTGGTAGTAAAATGCAGTGGAATTGTCGCATGTTAACGAGCAACCTTGAGGTTTGTGAAGGTGGAGAAGAGCTGCCCACATCCCGTAGAACATTTAGTGTTGTATACACAAAGAGTTGCATTTCTCTAATTGGTGGTAATGGGACGCCTTTAAAGCGGAAACGACTCTATATCCATCCTTAGGATTCCCATCCATGGGATTTTTCATACATTTCTGCTCTTGGGTCTTGACATTGACAGTCACTCAGATGTTTAATGCATATTTTCCCAATTTTTGTTGTCGGCAGTTAAATGTTTTTCCTACTTCAGTGCGGTGTAAAAAGTCAATCCCGGGAATTGGCGTTTGAAGGGATCTTTCCCAAAAAAATAATATGATCTGCTTCATTTTCTTTTTACATTCCCCTTTTCTCCTATTTCTTCTTGATCTCGTTGTTTTGCAATGTAATGCAGCATCGTTGTGCTAGAACCCGCCATAACAGCCATCCATCCCAGACAAAAACACCACAAACCTTAATGTAAATGATTGCAGAAAACACTGAATCTCATTAGGATTTGGTGACTGTTTTGTCCTTTTTCTCTTATATTTGTATAACATTTGGATCAATATATACCACTCAAATGCAAACAAGAAGGATAACAGTTTGTTTCATTTCCGTTCTCTCAGATTGTGTGGGATGGCCGACTAGGCCCTAATGGGTTATCTGTCTTTCCTCAAAATGTTGAAGTGTGACGAGTGAGGACGGCAATAACATGTGTATGACACCACACAGAGAACCCGGGCTATGTATATATATATATACATATATACATATGTATATATTATATTATTCACATGAGCCTCTTTGTCACAGTGAATTAATACATATAAAATAAAAAACACTGGGAACCAGTCAGTCACAGGGATGAGATAGAGACCAACAACCATACACCCACCTACAGGACATTTAGAGTCAACAGTTAATCAAATCCTCAAAGCATGTCCTTGGACTGAGCGAGGAGGCCGGAGTACCCGAAGAGAACCCACGCAGACACAGGGAGAACATGGAAGCTCCACACAGAAAAGCAGCTGGGTGGTTTGGAACCCAGAACCTTCTCGCTGTGAGGGGACAGTTCAAGCCACCAACAACCATCAAAATTCCAAACTGACTGTAGAGGCTAAGCCAACGCTTTAAGCCACTGAGGCATTTTGTCCGGAAACTTAACTGACGCGCCGCCGTTGTACCATGACGGATGAATGAGAGTAATGTAGCCCAGCGATTCCCAAAGTGTGGGCCACGGCCCCCTGGTGGGCCGCGAAGGTACTGCAGGTGGGCCGCAAGAGGTCATTTACAATAAATAAATAAAGTTTTTTAATTTTCAATTTTTTAAAGTTTGAAATTAATATAAAAATATTCATGATGCGGCACATTAGTTATGTGAAACATTAGTTGATGAAGCACAAACAATTTAAACGGACAGATTAATAAAACAATAAGGCTCTCGCTCGAAACGGCTGCTCTTGTCCGCCTGTCGTTATTCAACAAACGGGGCGCCCTCTTGTAGTATTAAAGTAAATATACCGCATTTTCCGCACTCCAAGGCGCACTTAAAAGGCTTTAATTTTCTCAAAAAACTGGTTGTACACGGCGCTCAAGGCGCTCTGCCAAACATGCCAAAGCTCGTCTACGACGGCGAGATGCTGAGCGGCGCTCAAGCGCGTGAGATATGGAGCTTGTTTCAGGGCGCGTCTGAGAAACAAAGCTGTCGTTCTTGCCGAGAATTTAATGAGATTAAAGAGCGAGAGACGGCGCCCTTTTCTCTACAGTAGCTGAACCATCTTAACGGGGAAAATAAGCAACTCTCTTCTAAAAGGAGCCAAAGATTTAAGGCGGGAGCGGACGCACCTCGCCGCATCGATCGGACCCTGAAAGCACCGTCTCCACCTTACTTTCAAAAAGAACAACAGCGAGCGCGTAGAAAACTCCTTCGAGCGCGAGCAGAGATTCTCCTCGCGAGCAACGAAGTTCACGTTTCGCGGATGTTTGATTTTGGTTAAATTCTTAAGGTCATTTAATCATTATGTTTTGATCAGAGTTGTGATTAAAGGTTTGGGTGGTGCGCGAAAGATTTTCAGATTTCAAATTGGGCCGCGGCATTCTTGAGTTTGGGAACCGCTGCTGTAGCCTTTTTGTTACGTTGCAAACGAGTCCATCTATTTGCCAACTTATTCTTGTCATACGTTCAACATACATCCACCCGGAGCGTAACATGACACTACCGAGCATGCGTTCAAAAACTGCTTTTCCTATCCCATCTGGAAACACCTGCCGAGCCCCCAAAAGGTTCCTACCCTATGTAGGCCCATCAATCCGATCCTGACACACATCATAATGGCTCTTACACTGACTCGTGATCAGTTGACGATGTCATGTGAAACTACAAAATGCCGATGGAGATAAAACTTCCAAAAAGGCATATTTAGTCCTCTACACGATTACACTACCGAAAACTACAACCATGGTGTTGTGGCCACAACTACTTGCTTGATGCCTAAATATGTTTGTGTAGATTTGTGTACATGGGTTAGTTTAAACAACATGGAAAAGGCAAGCATTCAAAGCCAGGCAGATCCTCTCCACGGCAGTAAAATACAAAAACTGGCAGCACTGGTCTTCCAATTCATAAAGTTACAGTCATCAACTTCATTAGTGCTCACTGGTCTCAACACTACAGAAGCATGGAAGAAAAAAGAGAGTGTGTTGTAAAGGTTGGCCTTCTCTTCCTTGTTGTGCTTCTTCTTTTTACAGGTTACTGTTGGCAACGTACAGTGCAAGTTCCGACAACATTGAATATGCAACTATTTCTAGAACTATTTCTAAAAAGCATCAACATAGTACATGGGATGGCTTGAGCTGCTGGTAGGGCTGATTTTGATCAGTGATGTCAGGGCCTTAGCACAGGGCCCCACGTGGCACCTATGGCACTCGTCCTCAGTGTAGGCTTTGGATCAAATCTCACACGTAGGTGATATTTAAAGTCTGGAGGGCCTTGCTGTCATTTAACCCAAATCAGTCAGTTGAACTACCATGAAGGTATGTAACATGGGTAGGTCTCAATATCGGATACTGTGGTAGACAACAGGATGGAAAGGAATCTCCTGGAGACCGCATTGACAACTTTAGTCCAAGACCCAAGTGAACGTCATCATCTAGCAGCAAAAATGGAGATGCACTTTGTCAGATGATGTTTGCTGATGCTCACAAACAGTGGCCGTTGTTTCTTAGTTGACAGTCGCCGGCCATTGGCACCAAGCCTGTGAGAGTGTGGGCACACTATCAAACTATAGACATGTCTCCTCAGACAAAATTGTGAGAGCTTAGCTTATTTATGTGTTTTCCAGGTGATTGGGGGGTTTGAAATACATTGTGTATAACATTTTATCAGTCACAAGGCAGCAACACTTATTACAAAGTCAGAAAAAACTCTAGCCGGCCAACGAGACGTTTGGAGAATTTGTCAAGAGGGACAAGTGCATGTAATTGGGAGAGAAATAAAATGTTTTTTTTTTCAGAAAAATAGGCAAATTTAAAAAATGAAAGTTTCTTTCTCTGCGGCCACGGGTACCAAGTGGAAAAGCATTGGTTGGTTGGGGACCTCTGGGGTTGAGTTTACTCTTGTGGGCCGTGGATGTGTAATGGTTTGAAAAGGAAGAGACTGGTTGAAGATATATTATCCCCTGTCGAAATTTGTTTTTGTGTAAAACACAAAATAGTCTTGTGTGAAAGCAAATTTTATTTATTTTTATTTATTCAAATATTTTTTAATTTTGTTGATTTTGTTTGCATTTATATATATATATAACAGTTTTTGTGTGGTTTCGAAATGTATTCTATGGAAATCATTTGTATTCAAATAACTGACGTTATTAGTGAATCCTTCTGTGTTAATTAACTAATAATGATACTGAATTGACCCCACATGCGCTACAATCGATGAGTTGAGTATGAGTGTTAAGTGGTTTTAGTTATCCTAATCCTTCAGGCAATCTGGAAAATTTTGCCGACCACCAGCAGAGATATCCGATATAGGAAATGGGATTCAGCAAATTCTTCCAAAACCAACAAAAATGCAGACAATATAGATTTTGGATGGATTTAGATTTGAATAATCAAAATATCAAACTATGTTAGAGGATAGGCTGCACATCCACGAACAGGCATTGACCAGATATTAATATTTAGTAATTATAATTAGTGCTTGTGCATATCAGAGCTGACTTCTGAAGTCAAGCTGCTCTTTAAAACTTTAAAGATTGCGTGTTTGTTGTGAGAAAGATTTCTCTGTCATGCCATGCAACATGATGTGTGTGTGTGTGTGTGTGTGTGTGTGGATGTGTTAGTATACAAGGACAGTTACATAAAAAAAAGATGCAAAAGCAAACGTTCCTCTCCCAATCACTTAGATGTGGCGAAGCTAAGAGTGATTGTTGA